TATGTCGGTTATTAGTAGCTCCCACAGTTCAGTCAGACTCTATTGCATTGACCATATTTCAGTACAGTCAGTATTCAATCTCAGCATGTTATAAATGTGGTCATTGCATCAGTTAGCTCAGTATTCAATATTTTCAGTATCTATATCATGTTCAGATTTATTTATGATTTAGCTTCCGCATCAGTTTATTATCTTTAGTATGCTCGTGATCATGTCAGCAGGGTTAGCTTGGGATCACTTGTGGTCCTAGGTCCCGTGTCCGCGTCTCGGGGGTAGCTCGAGGTGTGACAGTACTAGTGGAAAATTATGTAGAAAGAGGGAGGCTAAAGAAAACAAAAAGTTGTGAATGTAATAAGGAAATTGAATCTAGTGCATTAGGGAGGATAAGTCACTAATTTTATCTAAATGAATCCTCCCTTACCGCAAGCCTACATTACAACCCGAACAAGTCTTGTTTGATTTTGAACATAACACACTTTATTAGTGGAGATGTACATAATGGGCAAGCTTATGGTTCTCAATGAATGCATGTATGATGTCTTTGTTGAGTGAGAATGTACTATGTTTGCAAAGTCCTTAAATCATATTCAATTTGCTGAGTTGAGTGTGCGGACTATTCTTTGGAGTAAGGGGCACTTGTTGTATGAAAGATAAGTGATATGTAATAATGCACATGTTGTTTAATGTGTTGGTTGCAAAAAGTTGTCAAGTCTATATGAGTCATGCCCATTTTGAATGAAATCATGCTTGTGTGAACTGATTACAGATCCTTGGAAGAAAGTGGTGGATGCACAAATACCGTAGTAGGGAGTCTAGGTCTAGAAGTAGTTAGTAAGTTGTTCGAGGACGAACAAAGCTCTAAGTGTGGGGTAGTGATCTTAGGCGTATTTATATGCCTAGAAATCTAATAATGCTCGTATTTAAGCCAAGTTTGAAATCAATTTGTGTTTGTTTAGAGTCTTATCGAGTCTTTTGGTTGTATATGAGCTAACCAACATGATTAGTTGTGTAGGTAAGCTTAAATGGAGAAACGAGCACTGAAATGGGCATCGGGAATCACAAGGGGACACAAGTGAAAAGAAGCAAGAAAGAAGAATAAGAAAAAGAACAAGTTACATATGTATCCTCTCCGCATCGCGGAAAGGAATGTC